CAGCAACAAGGATTACATCCACAAGTTTCCTTTCACGATTTTGTGCATCGCACTGCAGAGTACACCTTCATCTTCCCCTTCGTCCCTTCTTGGGGCTATCATCTACCTTGACCGCCTATGCCTGCGCCACCCGAATCTAATCATCACGGAAAAAAACATATTAAGGCTTTTCTTGACCTCCGTTCGCGTCGCATCCAAGACCCTGGAATTGCGTAGTATTAACAACCGCCACTTCGCGGAAGTTTTTGGACTTGACACGAAATCATTGAACCTTTTGGAAGAAGCGTTTATCAAGCGGCTGGTGTTTGATTTTTTCTTATCACCAGAGGAATTTGGGGATTATGCCCGTTTGCTGCAGCCATCCAATTCCTACTATTGCCGAAATTTGTCTGCACATCGTGGATATGCATCAACAGGGGGGGTAACAGACGAGAAGGCGATTCCGGAGTCATCAACCACGCAATATTATCAGGATACTCCCAGCAACTACAGTAGCAACGCCCAAAACCCTCCTGCTACAAATCCATTGGGAACTGATGGGCAGTCAAACATTCAAAAACATATCATAGTTGCCAGGGAGACTGGAGTAAATGAGGTTGCCAATGTTTCTCAGGGAGCGTCGTGCTCTAAAGGCATTGGGCCCATGGAGCACAGCAGCCGAGTGGAGGTGCCATCCAAGAAACAGCTTATCGGGATAGGCGGCAGCGGCGCGTGTGGTCTTAATTACCTTAGTGTCAGTGAAAACAGCAACAGTACCGTGCCGACGGCGGGAGGTGATAGGGGTGATGCATCCAGAGTCGTTGCAGGAGGCATTAGCCAGGCGGAACGCAAAGACAAAGTGGTGGTGTAGCGGCCATGTTTTCTCCGTCAGGGGAAAAATAAGTGGGTGGAGCAAATATGCCCAAAACGAATGGCATAAAAGAAGAATGCGCAGAAGTAAATTTAAAGGACAAAAAAAAATAAAAAACTAAAAAAAAGACTTTGGTGGCTTCGGTGGCGCACATAAAAGAAGGAAAGGAAAGAAAAACACCCTTACTTTTAATAAAACAGGGCGAAGCAACAATTGCTTGCGTGAGAAAAGTGATAAAGAAAGAAAAGGGGGGAGAAGGGGAAAAAAAAAAAAAAAAAGGACATCATAAACATAAATATATGATACTACTTAATAAATAGGACGAATGATCCGCAAAGAAAAGGGCAAAGGAAAAGAAATTTTAGGAGGAAGGAAGGAAGCAGAAGGAGAAGGGTGGGGGAAGGTGAAAAAAGGAATAAACCGCGTTTCGTATGTGTCTTTTTTTTTTTTTTTTTTTTTTTGC